AAAAGATTCTCTATCTTTTCATAAGAGAAAATTATTTTTTTTTTAAATTTGGCCGACCCTGAGAACGAGTTTCAGAGAGGGCCTGTCGACCCTCAAAGGGTTAAAGGAGTAGCCTAGAACCTACCTGCTATCTTTTTACTTATATTATCTGAGAATATTTACATAAATAAGGAATAATAATTTACTGACAGTTCACCAGTAACATTCTTGAAATCCATCCTGCAGTGTGACGCATGAACAAACTTCTGCAGCTCGGAGAGATACAGCTGTATTGCATATGAGAATTTCAGCAAGTAACTGATCTTGAATCACTTTACCAGAGTGAATTAACAGTTCAACAGCTGTTAAAAAGTTGAGAAATAATGTGGGACATTATTTGTTCTCCACAGAAAAATAAGTAAAACCTACAAAACCAAAGACCCAATACTTTATTATGTGCTGACATCACATTACAGCCTCTCCTCACTTAGCGACATACTCGTTTACCGACAACTCGGACTTACGACGGGCTCTCTGGCCAGTATTCATATCTAAATAATGTATGTTAGAGCTGAGTTCCTCTATTCTGTTTATTACAATATACAGTACACTACTGTACAGACATTTAAAAATATACCAGAAATGCTATAAATGGTGCAAAGGTGACATTATAACAATGTCAAATATGGTTGACAAACCCGCTACCATTATAGTATGCTCCTCACTTACCGACGAATTCATTTACCAACAAGGTCTTAGAAACAGAATTCTGTCGTTAAGTGAAGAGAGGCTGTACATTAATTTTATGCTGTCAACTCATATGTATTTATATTTCAAGTCATGGTATATCTGCAGCATTCACTGAATCATAAACTGTGGTCCAGACCTCATTTCTTTCATCACAATTCATCACTGTGCAGCACCTGTAATTTACTGGTACATAGTCTAATTAAATTGTACTAACACTCAAAAGCAAATGCCTGCGAATTACAGGCTTAAAAAATTACTATGAAACTTAATCTTCTATCAATAACTTAAGTGTTACACTCGCTTCTGATTCGGCCAGCTGGCCAAGTGGCTTACGCACTGGCATGGAGTTTTAGGACTTGCTTGTCATGAGTTCAATCCCTGCCCATTCCATGGTTTAATCACATCTGATTTGCAAAGAAAATTCATATTTCTGCAACTGCCAAAAATTCCTTGAAATCGGGAATTCTCCTTAAGTTTAGAAGTTATTTACTTCTCATTTGATTCAGTTCTACAAGTCTCATTCATCCCTGTAAAGAGCACCTCTCTCTCATAACTTTGAGAATCCGCAGCTACTTGGATTCTTGATGCAATTCAGAATAACATAATTTATCGTACCAGTGCATCTGACCTCTCATTTAATCCCTAATTGTGAGCCTCCCAGCACAAAGTTGCATGCCTCTCTCCTACTGCAACTTCCATGGCTCTACTCTCAAGAACTTGAGAACTGTGCAATAAGGACACATGCAATACTTATGGCATTTATTAGGAGCCATTTTGCCCTCTAGGGGCTTCATCTCTGGACTGATAAATCCCCAGAATCTTATACTCTCCCTTCCTATACTGATTTATAATACTCTCAAGTCTCTTCTCACTGATGTTGGAATACTGTTGTTAACTCAAGAAAAGAATGCTGTGTTCTCTGTATTTTGTGGCACAAACTTTCAATTGGCTAGAAGAATTCAGTTTATTCATATCTGTGGGTGCTGTTCATGATTAGGTTGCTGGCTAAAATGCCAGTATCATTATTTCCATAAGCAGTAAAGCATAACCTCTTATTATAGAGCATTTGACATAGTCCCTCATGCTGAATAGTTTTGTATATGAAAAACTAAAATGAATATTCATTTGTATGGATATAAAATAATGACTAACAGGATAAAACTGCCTGTCATAACCTACCAGTTAGATCATCAAATCCTGCTTTGAAACAATGGTTCACTTGCTAGTTTAAGCTATACCATTTACTAATGTAAAATCCTCCAATGCCTTGTACCATTTGTAATCTCGGTGATGTATCTTATCTAAATGAAACCGAGGATGAATTAAATAGGAAAATGCTTTGTAAAAGGAAATAGGGTCTTGCTCACCACCTTATTACCTGTAGACAATTCTGGGGGGTCATTCCCCCCCACAGCCCAGCCCCAGACCAGGAATCCTGGTTGATGACCTGATCACTCAGGTTGTTGGTCCTAGTGGCAAACAATTTAATGCAAGCACCACAGTCCAGGTGATATAAAATTTATTTGAACTCATTCAGTTCCCTTTCCAAGTACAATGGATACTGAAAGATCTCAGATCCTTTGCACATATGTACTGAGTTATCCCTTTAATGTATTCATTGCACCCCTGCTTTTCACTGGGGTTGTTTTGCACCATAGGGCAAACCTCTTGCTTTCATAGGGAGGATTTCGATGTGCAGATTTTGGACTATTCCTTCCAGAATTTTGAAGGTGTGAATCATGATCTATCTTTGTTGCCTACCATAACCTTTCCACTGTCATGACCCCCAAAATTAAAATGGCTGACAGTGTCATGATTTAACAGCAATCAATATTTAATGGAAACCTTATGGAATTACACAAGAGCAAAGCTGTCTGGGAGCAATTTATGCACTGGCAATTTTACCAACTTCAAGTCGTATTTTAAGCTAATTCTAGTAATCAATCTGACCCAATTTCTAGCTATTTTGCTAGTATGATTAAACACAAGATCAAGCACAAGAATCCACCCTTTAAACCATCAGAACTACTTTATAATGTGTACAGAAGTTGGCCAATATTACACACAATTGAAAAAATTCCAGTTTAAAAACAGAGTCCAAAATAAATAGTGTAGACATTCCAGGCACTACAGCAACCTTCCGTCTGTGTGTTAAAATCACATCTCCAGGCCTCTCCTATATCACACTTGCCCTCCATTTTGAACTAGTCACACAAAAAATTGGATTTACTCTTTTTCTCCTGCAATAAAATACTATAAAAAAATTATTGGTCATGGTTTTGGACATCCCAATAATTGAAACAGACCTAGTAAAAACCCTGAAGACAGACCTAGGAGAGGGTAGCCCTATCCTTCCTCAAGAAAATTGTCAAAAATAAAATATTTTTGCCACTTTGAGACCTATTTCAAGCTATTTCCTATCTGAAACCAATCAAAATCATCTCTACTTCAGTAATATCTTGCATCCTATCAATTGATACCAAGAAATAGCTAATAAAACCATAAAAACCATCCTAGAAAACACCTCAACTAGTTATTTTAAGATACAGTGGAGCCTTGGTTTTCGTGATTAATTCGTTCCAGAAAGTCTGACAAAAACTGAACTGCACGAAAGCTGAAGCAATATTTCCCATGAGAAATAATGTAAATCCAGTTAATCTGTTCCAGACACCCAAAAAGATTAACAAAAAATACATTCTATAGAGAATAACTATAGATTTACATACAGAAAACAATGAGAAATACTGTAAATATAAATGACTAATGAAACAGACAAATGAACATTTAACATCACTTTTACCTTTATTGAAGACTCTTGTTGGCATATGGAAGATGGCAAGGAGGGGAGAGGGAGGAGGAGAGGTTATTGTTTGGAAGGGAAATCCCCCTCAATAAGGACTTCAGGCATTAAGGCCCTATCTGGGGTTACTTCCCTTCTTTGTCTTTTACTGGTACTAGGACCAACTTGAAGGTCACTGTACCCCTGTAGCACAAAAAATCTGTCCAGAGAGGTCTATTTCTGGCATCTCTTTAAGATTTGCCTAAAATGGGACAAGGCATTGTCAATGAACATGTTGCAGACACAGCTTGCAATGGCTTTGTTAGGGTGATACTTCTCCACAACTCTCTGCAACTCATTCCACTTTGCACACATGTCCTTAATCACTGAAGAAGGCATATTCTTCCCTCTCTCTTCCTCCTTCCTGAAGCAATTTCCTTAGCTGCAGTCTGCTGCTGTTCCAGTTGAAAGTCTTGCAGCTCTTCAGTGGTTAGCTCTTCCCTGTGGTCGTCCACCAACTCTTCCACCAAAACACTATCTCCCGCTAACTGTTTTTTGTTGATCCACACCAACAACAACTTCTCAACATCTCTGATTGTTTGTGATCTCTGTTTCATTAGCACATTTACCCCTTTCGCAACATCAGCTTCCTTAATTTTTTTTTTTTGCCAGGATGGAACTGATCGCTGATGTAGACTTCACCCTCTCTATCAAAGGACTGGCACTCGGAGCTTTCTTTGGCCCTATGGTGGCTTATTTAGCAGTCGCACTCAATAAACAAACACAAAAAACAATGGATTATTACGAAATGTTATCCAAACATGCTAGGTAATGTTCATTCAACGAGAAACAATGCCAGACTGAGTCAGAATGCATGGGCTGCTGTGTGTGGGCACAGGCAGGTGGACACATTTGGTACGGACCATTGTCAACTCTACGAAACCCGAGCGGATGAAATTTAGATGAAAAAAGTTGTCAAAAACCGAATCCTATGAAAACCGAGAATCCACTCTAATTACAATTTCAGAGGTTTGCTTTTCCGATCATGCACTGATGGGGCAGGTTTTTGCATGGAAACAAGCACTATTAATACTAAGGGCAGTAAGTAGCTTGATATTACAGCCTCACTAGGCTTGGAATAGGAACTGTTCCTGGATATTTGAGTTCTCTTGACTTCTGACATTAGAGGAAATTTAGGCATTTTTTTTAGATCCTGACAATTTAAACAAGTCTTTTGACTTGCTGTTTCACTCACTTGTGCCAGGTTGTGTTGACCTATAGTGGTCAAGCAGTCAATGTCACATCTAGGTGGCTCACAGGTACAGTATTTTGAAGAATTGCAGAAATCTGCTCATAGATCACTTCTTGTTCTTACTATGTCATAAAATGGTACTGTATTCTAAGAAATAAAAGTGTATTGGTAGTAAGTACAATTTTAAATTATAGTACAAGTTAAATTCTATAGTAAGCAGACAGTAATTGATTGGCTCACCATACAAAGCTGTCCAAGCTTGGTTTATTACATCCAGGCACACAGTGCCTGACACCTCATCAATGTTAGGATGATAAACTTTGTTCATGAAACCAATGCTCGGAGATTTAAAAGGATAATGCTCTGGGAGATGAACACGAACTTTCCAAACGCCACCCTCGTATGGTGCTGAAAAACACAGAGAAATGTCTTGTAATGGATGTCATACTAGCACAGAGTATACAGAAAGTGAAAGGTATTAGGTGCATTGTATTGTATTTATGAAATAATGAACTCGTGTAGATCATTCAGCAAAAGAAGTGGTGAAGATTTGATCCTCCATCTGCTAATCTCAGCCTGGCCTCTGACCAGTTAAGTTGTGTCAAAATTTCAAGGGATGAGAGGTAATAGAAGCATAACAGAAATGCTTTAGACACATGGAGGGGATGATGAATGAATAAACTACAATAAGCAAACAGAGAAGATAAATATTGTTGAAAATACTGATAAGTTACCTGCATCATAGAAGAGAAAACTTGTATACTATGTTCAAAGATAAGGCTATGAATAACTAAATTGTAATGAACACTTGTTAATGCTCTATAATATTTCAACACCCCAGAAGGGGGTCAAAATATACAGATCAATTAATCTCCTAAGTTTCTGTCTCCACGTGGGTTATAAAAGAGCAGTTAAGACTGTTGTATGAGTATATAAAGTGAGCATCCATGAGAATTTTTTTGTTGTGGGTACCCTTGCAGTTAATTTCTGTAAGCAATAATTCTTCTGGTATGTAAACACATTAAAAGCAGGAGAATTCACAACTAATCCACAAATTGGATTTGATAAGTAGACTGCATTTTTGTCTATCCTGGATCATCATCTAGTTAATGCAACTTGATATTGATTCAGGATGGACTGAATCAATATCATCTACAATTTACAAGCTAGTCGTGAAATGTTCCAGACATTGTTACCTAAAGGTGATTCTGGTCGTCACCACCTCAATAACCATCCCTGGTTGATGGTTTGATCAAACAGGCAGTTGGGCTAGCCATATGCTATCAAAAATAGGCACCACAGCCCAGCTGATCAGGAACTAACTTTAAGAACTTACCAAATTTCCTCTGGACAAACAGATAAGTACTTGCTATTATTTCCCTTATGTATGCAGTGAGGATGTTGAAAAGTCCTGGCCACCTTACACTTACCAGTTACCAGGTATTCAGTAACCTTTAATTGTGCTCATACTCATTTACCACTTTGCTTTTTCATTGGAGGCATTTTGCACCATTTGCTGCGTCTCTTGCTCTCAGAGTGAGTAATTTTCTTGTGCAGATTTGGAACAAATCCTTCAAGAATTTTCCCAGATGTAAATTATGAGGTACTTTTCTTGTCAACATTCCAGGGACTTCAGGCATTCCCAATCATTTAGGTGTTTGAATTTATATGGGCAGTGAAGGTTCTCTGTACAAGCTCCAGCTCTGTGTTTCTGCTTGCCTTAGAGAAGGCTGTTAAGTGTGTATCAATATTCCAGACTAGACAGAACAAGGACTTAAATAACAAAAAGGCACAATACCGTGACTGGAACGATACACAAATAACCCGCACATAAAAAAAGAGAAGCTTACGACGACGTTTCGGTCCGACTTGGACCATTGACAAAGTCACACTTAAGAGAGTTATCGTCATTAGCTTAACATTTCTTGTATTTAACCCTTTCAGGGTTGGTGCCATACTAGTATGGCTTGCACGCCAGGGTTGGTGCCGTACTAGTACGCATAAATTCTAGCGCCTTCAAATCTAGCGAGAGAAAGCTGGTAGGCCTACATATGAAAGAATGGGTCAATGTGGTCAGTGTGCACAGTATAAAAAAAATCCTGCAGTACACACTGCATGAGAAAAAAAAAAACTCCGACCGTGTTTTTGCTTTAAAACAGCAACTTTGCAGTGTATTTTCGTATGCTGTCTATGGTTGTATTCTAGTTTTCCTGGTCTCATTTTATAGAATGAAAGACATATTACAGAAATTGAGATGGTTTTGATTGGTTTCACAATGAAAAGTACCTTGAAATTGAGCTTAAAGTAGCAGAAACGTTTGATTTTTGCCAAAGTTCAAAAGTAAACAAATCACGCCATGTGTCCAATGAACATCAACTAGTGAGTCTAATATTCTTTCACAAGTGCGCTGATATTATTTATACCATTTCTACACTAATGCAGTAGTCTGCATAACAGTAAATCTTCCATTTTTTTGTGAGAATAAAAATTCAAAGTGGAAAGCAAAAGAAATGTAAGAGGGGGCCTGGGGACATGACTTATGAACAGAAAAAATGTTATTTTAGTGCCAGGAATGTCTGTCTTGTTTATTCTGGACCCTATTTAGAAATTGGCATCTTTTGAAATTTGTGAGAAATTGGCAAAATTGCCAATTTCTGACCACTTTATTGGATAGTTGAAATTGGTAAATAAATGGTTTCTTGTACTCATTCGATAGAAAAAATGGAACTCTAGAGAAACAGTTATGACTTTTGTCAACTGATACATTGGAATTGGCCAAAAATAGGGCTCAAAGTGGGCGAAATCGCTGATGCGTAAACATCGTCGAGACCGCTAACTTCGCGAGAGCATAATTCCGTAAGTTTTTCCATCAAATTTCATACTTTTGGTGTCATTATGATCGGGAAAAGATTCTCTATCATTTCATGAGAAAAAAATCTTCTTATTTTTTTTTTTTTTTTTTCAAAAAATTTCTGACCCTGAGAACAAGTTTAGGGGAAGGTCTGTCGACCCTGAAAGGGTTAAGGTTATGCTTAGCCAGCCTATTAATTTTCTTGCATTTGTGCTGTGGCCCTTGAACATTAGATCATCTGACATCATCACTCAGAAGTCTCTCTCATTCCTCTTCTGCTGTACTGAGTAGTTCAGGCTTATTTTTTAATCTGTTCCATTTATTAACTCTTCAATTTTTCCATAGTGAAGTAACTGAAATTTATCCTCCCAGAACATCATATTTTTTATAGCCTGCTGGAAGATTTGATTGGTATCAGCTTGAACAGTCACTGTGTCTTCAACAGATGCAGATCTCATACAAATTCTAGCATCATCAGCAAAGATACAATGCTCTGACTTACATCTATGTCAGATATGAGAATGAGTAACAAAACTGGAGCAAGAACTGTGCTCTGAGAAACTGTGGAAGCCTCTGATATAACTCTGTTGACAATTATTCCCTGTGTCCAATTTGCTAGAAAATAAAAAAAATTAACTTTCTCACTTTTCCCAGTTATTCCTTCTGCATGCATTTTGTGTATTATTACATCATGATCACAGTTGTTGAAGGCTTTTGCAAAATCTCCATTGTGTCTGCATCTAAGACCATGTCGTAATGGTCTAGCAACTGTGAGGCAGGAGCAACCTGATCTAAACTCATGTTGTACTCAGTTGTGAAATTCTTCAATTTAATTTTTTTTTTTTTTCAACAAGTCGGCTGTCTCCCACCGAGGCAGGGTGACCCAAAAAAGAAAGAAAATCCCCAAAAAGAAAATACTTTCATCATCATTCAACACTTTTGCCACACTCACACATTATCACTGTTTTTGCAGAGGTGCTCAGAATACAAAAGTTTAGAAGCATACACATATAAAGATACACAACATATCCCTCCAAACTGCCAATATCCCAAACCCCTCCTTTAAAGTGCAGGCATTGTACTTCCCATTTCCAGGACTCAAGTCCGACTATATGAAAATAACAGGTTTCCCTGAATCCCTTCACTAAATATTACCCTGCTCACACTCCAACAGATCGTCAGGTCCCAAGTACCATTTGTCTCCATTCACTCCTATCTAACACGCTCATGCACGCTTGCTGGAAGTCCAAGCCCCTTGCCCACAAAACCTCCTTTACCCCCTCTCTCCAACCCTTTCGAGGACGACCCCTACCCCGCCTTCCTTCCCCTATAGCTTTATATGCTTTCCATGTCATTCTACTTTGATTCATTCTCTCTAAATGACAAAACCACCTCAACAACCCCTCTTCTGCTCTCTGACTAATACTTTTATTAACTCCACACCTTTTCCTAATTTCCACACTCCGAATTTTCTGCATAATATTTACACCACACATTGCCCTTAAACAGGACATCTCCACTGCCTCCAACCGTCTCCTCGCTGCTGCATTTACCACCCAAGCTTCACACCCATATAAGAGTGTTGGTACTACTATACTTTCATACATTTCCTTCTTTGCCTCCATAGATAACGTTTTTTGACTCCATATATACCTTTAGGAAAGGTAGGGGGTGTGTGGACCAGGTGTTTACAGTGAAACATATAAGTGAACAGTATTTAGATAAGGCTAAAGAGGTCTTTGTGGCATTTATGGATTTGGAAAAGGCGTATGACAGGGTGGATAGGGGGGCAATGTGGCAGATGTTGCAAGTGTATGGTGTAGGAGGTAGGTTACTGAAAGCAGTGAAGAGTTTTTACGAGGATAGTGAGGCTCAAGTTAGAGTATGTAGGAAAGAGGGAAATTTTTTTCCCAGTAAAAGTAGGCCTTAGACAAGGAATGTGTGATGTCACCGTGGTTGTTTAATATATTTATAGATGGGGTTGTAAGAGAAGTAAATGCGAGGGTCTTGGCAAGAGGCGTGGAGTTAAAAGATAAAGAATCACACACAAAGTGGGAGTTGTCACAGCTGCTCTTTGCTGATGACACTGTGCTCTTGGGAGATTCTGAAGAGAAGTTGCAGAGATTGGTGGATGAATTTGGTAGGGTGTGCAAAAGAAGAAAATTAAAGGTGAATACAGGAAAGAGTAAGGTTATGAGGATAACAAAAAGATTAGGTGATGAAAGATTGAATATCAGATTGGAGGGAGAGAGTATGGAGGAGGTGAACGTATTCAGATATTTGGAGGTGGACGTGTCAGCGGATGGGTCTATGAAAGATGAGGTGATCATAGAATTGATGAGGGAAAAAGAGTGAGTGGTGCACTTAGGAGTCTGTGGAGACAAAGAACTTTGTCTTGGAGGCAAGAGGGGAATGTATGAGAGTATAGTTTTACCAACGCTCTTATATGGGTGTGAAGCGTGGGTGATGAATGTTGCAGCGAGGAGAAGGCTGGAGGCAGTGGAGATGTCATGTCTGAGGGCAATGTGTGGTGTGAATATAATGCAGAGAATTCGTA